CGAACAGCCGTTACAATCAATGACAACGGACCTCCCCGATCCTCTTTGAGCGGCGTGATCTCTGCATCGTCTGGCTTTACGAGTGGTGGTGGTGATTCATACCGTCGAGTCTGAAACTTCCGGGGGGAGTGGGGGGGGTTACTGCAGGTTGGAGCTTTTTAAACGAGAGCATTCCGTTACCGTATTGTCTAGAAATATATTGAATATTTTTGTTCCAGCAAATGTCAATACAATTACTTTTTTTCTGGATCCGCCACTGGTTTGACCACGCTGGTCAGGGCCGGTTAGTAAAGTTGGGGGGTGGGGGGGGGTGGATCGGATATCGCTTGCCCACCGATTGTTATCCAGAGCCCTGGAATCATACTTAGATTTTCCCAGAGCGCTGTGTTTCCAAACCACTGCGCCACCAGGCTCTCCCGCTGTGCAGCATGTTATATACCGTACGTTGCACACACAGCATTAGGGTACGATATTCTACGTGCGCGTGATGTTTTGCGAGACTGACTTCGTTGAAGAACAAGTTTACATATGGAGAGGGAGGCTCCGAGGGCGTGTATACAATTACAATTTCAATTGTTTGCGCTGCGTTTGCTGGGTGTATTCAGACGACTTCTGTAACTTCTCCGCTGTGCCGTTACATTTCATGCCTAAGTGTTGCATTGGTTTTTTTTGGCATCGTGGGGGAAAAATGTATATATTTCAAGGCATTTTTTGTGTCGTGTCGCCGACGCTGAAATCACAGCGGCAGCTGCCGAGATTACACCTAACGTCTGCGGTGAATTGGCATTAATTAGCGTTAATTAGCATTAATTAGCATACGCGGATGGGTTTGGACGGTAACCGCCGATGCGTTCCAACGTCGCGGCCCAAGTTTGGACTCATTTTTTTTTCGGGTTCTTGGCTCGGATCGAAACTTACAGCTGGTGAATTATTCCTGAGATGGCTCTTAAACCGGCATTACAAACGCCTAATTAGCATATGCAAATAATCAATATCAACCTAAAAAAAAACGAGGGCTCCTTTTTGAGTGGTCAGATATTGGTTAAAACGAAACAATCCCGGACGCGGATTTTCCTGACGGCAATGTTGGCAAAATGGGTAGTGGAAGAGAAAAAACACTTAAATAACAAAATAGCATTAATTACCGTATACGAATGGCGCGTGGCCTTAAACGCCAAGGGGCTCGATATTTGGTATCATAATAAGGCACGGCCCACTCGTTTGCAGCACAGACAAAAGTTACGATAAAGCCGATTAAAGTGGAAGGCGTGTTTAATGGGCATTAATCAGTGCTCATTTGCATATGTAGATTACAGACACGTTAATATAACAAAGTCGTTGGCTTCGTTTTTATGCCTCCCAACACTGTTACGGGGTTTTCCTATAAATTTTACCTATAAATGCAAGACTCAAATGAGCCAGGTTTGGTTCATATTTCTCCCAGAGGAGAGAGAAAATGAAAAAAAAAGACACGCGTGCAGTTGGTGGGAGTTTATATATATATCTGTGAATTTACAAGCCCAGTGGGTGCAGTGTGAGGGTGTGGGGGGTGGGGGCACAGTGGTTGAGCGAAGCGACAACGAAGCTTGGGAGCCCAAGTTCAGTTCCCCCCCGGTCGATCACGACTTACACAATCATGGACGTCGTCATCATCATCATCATCATGAGTGGTGAGCGATTGATATCTGAGCTGATCCTCCGCTTCACTGACCAGCGTGGTGAAGTATCGTCAAACATCCCCCACTCCACCCCCCATGACCGACAAGATGCGGCATGACTTTCATCTAGGTGGTGGATGACGAAAAGTCTGAGAATTGATATTATTTTATTATTAATAATAATATTCAGCATGAGGATAATAGTAATTCGCTTGTATTTTGGTTTTATGGGAAAGAACAACCTATTTTGCGGTGGCAAAGCATCCGCGGTAAAGCTATTCTCAGGTGCTAATACAATCACTCTTCAAGGTGCGCACAGCCTCACCACATCACACCTATGTAGCTGACGTCATCTCGCACGACACATGCCCAACAAACCAGAGGTGCAGACCACAGATTGTCCAGCTATTACATTTCTCAGGGTAACATTCTTCTACCATCGCTCACACCGTGGGATCCACATCACAGTTGTCACGACTTCTGGGTGCTGAACGAATACATGATAATGTCGCATTCATCACACACACAAAGTGCTTGCCACAAATGAACCACAACACCTTGGCTGATCTCGGCATGGAGCATAAACCAGCACGCGAAACGTCGGTCATCCTCGCAGCAGCGGCTCTTTGCGTGGCCATCGAGCAAAGACGGTCACCGCATCGCGCGGCGCTTTCAGATGCGCTTCTGTGGCCATCGGGAACGCTCTTCCTTCCGATATTAGGAATCCGCTTTAAAATCTAGATTGGAAACTCTTTAGAACTGCGTTTTTGTGTTCAGTTTGTTGTCCTTCCCCCCCACCCCCCCTCCCCCGCATCTCCGATTAGCACGGTTGGCGACGTACGGTGCGAACAAAGTTCAACATACGACTTCCATTGCCAAGCGAAGGGGCCCCGCCAGGCACCAGCTATGCCGAGCTGCAAGAAGCAGCCGTGGCAGCGAGGGACGCGATTAGCGATATGCAGATGGGTTTGACGGTGACATCGACAGGTTTGAGTATTATTTGGCTTCAGCTCTCAATAAACAGAGCCAACTTTTCCTCTTTCTCCCTCTCTCTATCTCGCTCTTCCTCCGACAGCAAACGGCTTCACTGCCCTGGCTCTCCGATGCGGTTTTCGGGTCGTTACCGCGTGCTGTTCACGAGGTTCTTCAGACACTAAAGACAGTTCACGAAGAAGGACGTGAGACACTAACAACTGTTCCCGATGAAGATTGAATTTCCTGTAGAAGCCCCACCCCCCCCATCAGCGCGTGCAGCGAAACGTCGGACATCGCGCAGAACAAAAAAAACACCCGAGAAACGCATCATGGGGAGCGCTGTCACATCACGACCGCTCAACCGTATGCAGCAGTAGCAGCAGTAGCAGCAACAGGAGCCCTGCCATCACTGTGCCTCCGTCGCAGTAAATTTCAAGACTGGACTTCCCTGCAGCGGGGCAGAACAAAATAAATAAAACAATAATTATTGTCGCCCGCGGTGGCCGTGGGCTCAGTGGTTACAGAAGCAGCGGGGTGCCCCCCCCCCTACCCCCATCCATACTCGGAACGTGTCACGCATCGCGGATGGAGTGGCCGGTGGTGGAAATGATGGCGCTCATCGATTCCTCAAGAGGAGCGGCCCCACCCCCGCCCAGCGAGGTTCCACCAACGCGACCGACCTCGAGCACACGGAGCGCGTTCCTCCCTCCCTCGTGGCGGCTGCCGCCTTGGGTTCTGCGATTGCCGCGCGCCTTGCGTCTGCTGGGGCGCGTGCGTCTCACGTGGAGGAGCAGGGGGGTGGGGGGGGAGGCTCGTGAACGACGTTGCCGTGTTGACGGACAGCTGGTGAGGGAGGAACGGAGGGATGGAGGCTACCTTCCCGCAATGACAGTCGGGGGAAGGTTGCGGAGCACCGGGCGGATAAATCGCGGCAAGTTGGCGCGGTGGAGAACGCAATCCGGGGGCGTCTGCCAGTATCCACCTCCTCTAATGACCCATAAGGACCCGGGGCCTGGCCGCCGAACTTCTGCCAGTGAGAAGTCTGCCGACTCCGGGGTGGTCCGGGTTCGTTCTTCTTGTTGGCGAGCTGCCGGGTATAGTCGCGATTGGGGTCGCCGCGGTGTGAGGGCAGGACGATGTGACGATGTGGCGATATGACGATATGACGATGTGACGATAGGACGATATGGCGATGTGACGATATAACGATGTGACGATATAATGAGGTGACGATGTGACGATATAACGATGTGACGATGCGACGATGTGACGATATAACGATGTGACGATGTGACGATATAACGATGTGACGATGTGACGATGTGACGATATGACGATGTGACGATATTGACGATGTGATGATGTAAGATCCACGCTAAAATGCCACCGTCCGTTCGGGATTACTGTCGCTCGTTAATTGGGAGGGTAAACAACCTCGCATATATTTAATTTCGTTGACTAAATAATTGTGAAACAACAACACGAAAGTTCACGATAATCCTTACAGTTATGCAAAGTAGTTGATATTAACTTAGTGCTTTGTAAAATGTTTTCTGGAGTAACTGATGGCATGTTGATTATATGACCTGGTCATTTTACGACAGCGTGTATTTTATGAGCATTTTATATTGTAGAGTTATAGCGCTTAGGAGCCTCATTGCAGGCTTAAGTCGACTGGACCGTGGTCGAATGGCTCTTCAATCTCTATTCGTACTTAAAGTGCATCAAAGCACAGGAACAAGACGATAAAAAATGTGAAATACACCAAATTACGGAAACGTAAACTGACGGCATATAACGTGGTAAAATTTACTGACGTATAAAATTATATCGTTTCAAGCCTAGTAGTGATGTAAGACATATTATAAATGCATACTTTTCTAACCTTGAACATGATACAACTCCAAACACGGTCAAAATAACTCAAATCGTCAATAACACAGCAGCCTAAATAGGAACAAATATATAATAGGCGACGTTTCAGCCAATGGCCCTTCTTAATAGCACACCCTTTACGTACTGTGAACGGATATTTCCTGTTTAGGCCGCAATGTTTTAGATGAATGTGTCGAGTGTATTGTTAATTGTGCTCGTGCACAACTGCCAACACAGCCACAACAGCAGCACGACCAAATAATACGTGTAACCATAGCAGATAACCAAAGATAAGAACACCCTAGTCTCAACGTGCACCTAGCCTGGCACAGGTACTTTGGTGATGTCGCCTTGCACCGCCCCACGCGAACGGCTGGATGGTAGCTGTTGTGGATTTGAGAGTGTCCGAGAGAAAGAGAGAGCCAGAGAGAACACGTGTGTGCGCGCGTGTGCGCGCGTGTGTGCCTGTGTGCATATGCGCGTGCGTCCTACCGCTCAGCCACGCGGCACGGGGATCACGTGCCACAAAGTCCTCGCTGAAGATGTCCTGCAGAGTGATCTTGGCGTGGATCAAACTCGGGTCTTCATCTGCAACCCGCACAAACACAAAGGAGAACATGGCATAGATCAATTCAATGTCCTTTTTTGCTCAGTCAAAGCCAATCAAAAATCATCGGAAGCAAAACTTTTCTCGAGTGTCGTTGATGGGTCGCGTGTGTAAAATAAAAAATAGGCCGAACATGTTTCACATTACAAAAAATAAATTTCCCATAGAGCAAACAGCCTTGCATCTTGAGAATGAGAACATGACAAACTATGTTGATTCAGAGGTTTGTTTACATCATAAAATTGGCGATTGTATCACATGTACAATTTTTTGTTGTTGGCAATTATTGCCCAAATACTTAGTGACGTTATTATCTGGACGTTAGCGAGCTGCGCGGTAAACTCCACACAGATTGATTTTAGGGGTTTTGCACTTTCCTTGCAAACATGCGATGTTTCCACACGTGGATCGTTTATCGGCTCCTTTTAAAGTCCGGCGAGGTTCCGTATACACATTGACCAATTATTGACCAGCGGTAGGGTGAGCGGCGGATTAACTCAGACAATCATCTTTATCGGGGTCAATAAAATGAAGCTCCATTTTGTGAGCAAGTCAACAGCAGTGGTCCTATGGATAAACTCGTCCCCACCATAGGAATGTGGAACACTCCGCCACTGGCTCACGGTTGAAAGCAGGGCAATGAGCATAAATTCCTCGATGGTGATTAGGGTAGAAAGAAAAATACACACACTCCTGTTCTGATATTGACCAGCATAGTGAAGTATGGTTACCGACCGGCACGACGTCGGAACAGCTATGATCCATCAGATAATTTGCCATGAGGATGACAACGATCATCATCGTAGATAATGACCAACTGGGGAATCCGATCGCTCAGCCGACCCATTTCTCCCCCCACCCCCTCTACCCCCATCTGTGTCCCTCGTCCACGGCTCCTTGTCCACAACATTAAACTCGGGATGACGTCCAGAGGCCACGTAACGTCAATCAATACCTTTATTATACATTCCAAAATTAACCATCCGTCCCCCCCATTTTAGCAGACGTCTCCAAACCCCCGCGAAGGATGGCCTTCTGGGTATTTTGTACACGTAACGATGTAGGGTCACGGGCCAGTCCCATATGAAATGTACTTCCCCAAAAGTGAAAAAAGGAATACAAATGTTTCCACACAAACCGCCATTCAATAAATGCGAAATGTACATATAACACCCACGACATTTCGCAGTGAAACCATATAAAATACAAACAGTGTTATTGCATTCAAGATTATGCCCAATGAAACTGTAACAAACGCTGAAAATGTGTATTAAAAAAAAAATGAAAAATCACGGTACCGTATGGAAATGTTTTCACAATAAGCAATACAATAGGCAATGTGCAACTAATGTGTACACGAAACAATATACATAGACTAGGAATGGGCGCCAATGTTTGACAAAACAACACATGACACACACCATAACACCATTAAATATCTCAAAAAAGCCTGATATTTCACAATAAAATGCCACATTCAATAAAATACAATAAACACTGCACCGTGAACTTTTACATTGACCAATGTGAAATAGAGACGGAAAAACTTAAACAATAAAAACCAAGTTGATTTACCACAGGGTCATGCAATGAGTTCAGATTTACGAGGCTGACAATACTCCAGAATGTATCTTTTATTTATGGGGTAGGTAACAATGTTCTGGTCAAATGTATGTCATAAGACCCTCCACCACTCCATGTAACCGGACAGATTAAACTGTCACCTGTACGATGCACAAAAATGTAACGAACTTTCGCAGCAATTATAATCGTGACATTTCTCTTGCAAACTGTGCCCAAGCTTCTATGGGACAGACTCCTGGAAGTCAGAATAAAAAAAAATATATATCGTGCCATATCATTACGTACCCCTCACACAAAAAAAGTTAATTAAGAATCGTAAATATTGGTTGCAAAAACAGTTGTTATGTTAACTCAATGGGCGCCACCGGGGGGGGGATATGTTAAATTCCTCGCCTGGTATGCAGGCGTTCGTGGGTTCACTCCCAACCGTTGTCAAGTGGATTTTTCTCCAGGCTCTCCAGTTTTTTTCCCTCCGACATTTAGAATCAACATGCATTTAAAGTATTTGTCTGCAATACATTTCCACTTGACAAGCCACTTCGTTGAACTGCCATTTGTGGCCAGGTCGCTTCTGAAAAAGAAAGAGCTATATAGCTCAGTGGGCCTTACCTGGTCAATGAAAAATGTAGTTTAGAAGTAAACTCAGAGTTGGGATGCACAGATATTTATCCCCCCCCCCCCCCCCCCGCAATTATAATTTTAAGTGATATAACAGACAACGTATGGACAAGAAGATGTCGATGTGGTAACGCGAGATGAGACGTAGCAAGATGACAGGGATGTGACATGAGGGGTGGTTTTGCGATTAGTTACAAGCTCAAATTTAACTTGGGATATTCATTATTCAGATGTCAATTTGAGCTGATATTTGGTAGGTGGGTGGCTCAGGTATGAAAGCGCTGAGCTGGCACTGCAGAGACGATGGGTTTGAATCCAGGCAGTAAAGATTGTGATTAAAAATCAGGTTCTCACGTTTTTAAAAGTTGACGGTCTCAGCGTGAGCTCCAAGGACTGCACAAAAAAAGAAAAATCCATCAAAACCATGTTGGGGTTTCCACTTAAATTTGCCTCAACTGCAGTTCTGAGAATGTTAAATGTCGGGCTGGCCGTCATGTGCCGGAACACTGCTGATATCGTTGGACCAGAAGTCACTTGAAGGGCTCTACAGGAGGTAGGCTCCCCTACGACTCGGCAGATAGATCGGTAGCACGGAGATGTGCGCTGCTCCGAGGAGCTTCCGAATGGATTCTTCCTTTCATGACAAGATACCGATAACAGACGCCGGATCTAAATGGTAAAAAAAAAAATATTTTATTAAGCAGATTCTAATTTAAAAAAATACTCTTCACGTGCATTCTATACTTTCCCATTGTCCTACAATGGTTGCCTCCGCCGGCTTGCTTAATAAGCTGACAAAATGGAAAATAAGCAAAAGAAATGCATATAAACATCGGTAATTACATACTTTGGTGTATTCATTAGTACGTGTTGTTTTTTGTATTTGCCGTGGTGATAATTAGAATGGATTAATTTCGTAACTAATTGATAAACGGTCTTCATGCCATTATTGTTTACACAGAACATAACGCGGATAGCCAGAAAATTGCTCAAATTACAAACGTGGAGGCGAACATATTTCGCATTCGCCACTCTCTTAACGAGGGAGTGAACATGAGAGCCAGAAACGCAACATTCTTCCAAAAAAAAAAACACCGGCGTGTTTGAATTACCGTTTGCAAAACTTTTTTTTTCAATATAACAATAACAGCTTTTCTTTCAATCCTCCATGGAAAGTTAAACAATGATTAAAGCAGCCGTCGGTTTGATTAGAAAAGTAACTATTTTAGAAATCAACTAAATAAATTCGTACGGTAGAAAATAAACCAAAAAGGGCCGTTAATGTCTCTCTTGACAGCGGAACGGAACCCGCCGATGGCGTTAAAAGTCAAAATAATAAGATTTAACTACTCGCCGTCACCCAGCGTTTACATGTCAATTGAACATTCCCCAGTGTAATTCACAACCACCGTGAACATAACGGGAGCATTATTTGCACATCGCAAAAAAGGCTGAGATTGTTAGAAAGTACAATCATAATAATTTATGCTGCCCCGATGCAATCCGGAGGTCACCAGTTTGATATGAACTCCCGAACTTGGCAGTTTAAATAAATGGTGCAAGGTGCTCAAATCCTCCCATCGCCGCGGTCCGACTGGCACGTCCCACCTCTTCCAAATAAATTTGGGGCCGGCGTAGAAGGAGTAGGTCAAAAACTCCCTCAAAGGGGCTCTCTAGAACTCCCACTACACATTGAAATAGCATCCATAATATAGCATAAAAATATTACAAATCTAATATTTGAAAAAAAATCAGTAAACTGAATATTTCCATATATTTAAATAAATCCCATACTGGCGTCTATGGGACAAAAAAATCTGAAACACTTTTCATTGTACAAGGTGCACGCAGACAGCCACACGATGAACTTAATAATTCACCTCACTGCATTAACTTAAAATCTGCCCATCTGAAAAAAGTAACCTGCACGTTACTCAAATTGTGATTACACGCAAGACAGCAAAGACATGGAATCCCAAGTCTTGCAACAGTGTGGCAGGACCCTCCTTAAAAACATACAATCTTGAGACTCGGTGAGACTTCCTCAGGCAAAGCAGCAACACAAAAAATAGAAATATATTTGAACCAAAGGCTACATTCGGGACAATGATATTTCACGAGTTATTTTTTTATTTCTAGGACAACGCTAATTTACAACTGTAGGGGGTGTATAATGAGTTCTTCACTTGTAATTCTAGGGTGCATGCAGGTGCTAAAAATGAGGCTCCGGTTTTCCTTACAAAAAAAGCAAATGCATCACCTTGCCCTTGCTCATTAAAGTTACGACTGAGGGCTCTCGCTTCTGTCCGACCCGCTTTTGGAATACTCGGTTGCTCTGTGCAAACTGTCCACCCTACATTCGATTGTCTTGTAAAGTATAGCACTTTATTAAATATTTCTTGGTTGCTCCGATTGATCTTGTTTTGTATGGAGTGTGATTTTTTCCCCCCCGCGCACGTACAGAAAAAAGGCGGTCTATTTCATCATAACTTTAATTATCGGTATTCCACTATAATACAATCCGGATACATTATAGGGATGGCAACATTGTATTTCAAAGTCTCTATCTGTCTCCCACTAATCTCATCGCTGCCATACTACGCTGTTTTAACTCGATCGCCTGTTGAGAGGAACCGCACGGATAGGGTCGTTCGTAATCACTGGGTTATCTGTAAATTAATCACCCTGTACGCGCAGTGCCGGATTACGCTAGTGCGGGGCCTGTAACGTGTGTTATGAAGGGGCTCTAGATAAAAAAAAACACACACAAATATTAAAA